TAATAACTTCCTTTATACTAATGCCATGGAATTTAGATTAACAGTTTCTTGTCATCACCCCCATCCAATCAGTACAGCCGTATCAAGCATCATTATTTATACTAATTGCTTAAGCTAATATCACCTGCTGCTAAACGCTTTTTAATTAGGATAATTTCATAAAATTTAGTAAATTTGTGCTGAAAAGTTGGCAGTGAATAATCAATAATAACTGTCCACCTGTATGATTTTTTTCAAATCTTGAGCTAGAAACTGCTAATCTAGTTTGCTTGGCCTAACCAATACTTATGTATCTGAATGTCCTTTCACCTTATATTTTTGCTGCCCTAAATCAACCATCTTTAATCCAAATGACAAAAAACTAAAAACAATCCACTTTTATTCTGAGGTGAAGCTGTAGTAAAAATGTTAGACTGACAGCTCATGCGACTTTTTTGCATAGGCATGAGCAAAAATTTTCGTTAAATTTGAGCAGTTTTTGTTGAATAACTTTGCACATGTGGCTTATATTTACACCAGATGAGACTACTAATTGTAGGTTGAAAAGATCTATCAGTGTACCAAATTTGAAAAAAAAAATCCATAAAAGATAAATATGTTTTTCTATCAAATAAAGTTTCAGTACTTTTGGTGCAAAGACAAAAAAAAGGAAAAAAACTCAATCAAAATTGGAGATGTTATATCTCAGGTATTTCTTAATGGATTGTCTTGAACTTTGGTATGTGAAGTAATATTCCAGTAGAACACATCCACTGAAAATATGTGGTAGTTTGGATTACCATATTCCAAGCTACAGAAGGTGGAAAATTGCTAAACCATCACTCCTGTTAATAACACATAGTGTGCCCCACACGTTGTTTTTTTGGACGTAAGACACACTACCATGCATTTTATTTTCAGGAATAAACAGTCAGTGGTTGCTTTGTAATACAACTGATTACATTACAATAGGATTTAAGAACAAACAAGTGATGATATTACAGTAGGATTTAAGGAGAAGAGAGTGAATATATTAAAACAGGATTTAAGTACAGAAGAGTAATTACGTATATTGTAAGAGTTAAAGAATAAGTAATTAGTGATTAAATTACAGGAATAAGTAGTAAATGATTATGTTACTGAAGTAATAAGTTAATTAATGTGTTACAGTGGAAATAATGGATACTCTATATGAAACTGTAGACATCATGCTCATACTTTTGAACCTAACTAAAAATCTAAAGAATTCTGGACATGATACAGTAAAACCCCGATTTTACGTCCCCTGACTTAACGCAAATTTTGATATAATGTGATGGGTCATTAATTAAAACTCTTTCGACACAGGCACGGTCCTTGGGACCTACCTCGTAACCATAACCTCATTATAGTTTATGTACTAATAACTTTTAATATTTTAAGTGTATTTTTACAAAATTTTATAGACTTAGAGTAAACATCAGAAGCCTTTTGCACAAAAAAATCAGCTTTTTTTAATAAAGTATTTTTACTTAAATTTGTCCGTGAAAATATTGATTCTTTTTTTTAACTAGTCGGAGTGCAAAGTGATTTTCATGTTAAAATTTTAAAAAATCTCAATTTCCTTTGTGTAATTCCTAAAACCTCCTAAATGCATTTCAAACGTTTTTTTCACTAAATTCTTCAACAATGCTTGAAGCCTATCTGAAAAGCCTGAACATGAAGGAAGTTTGCCACTTAGGTGGGAAAGCCTGGGCAGCATTCAGCTTGTTGTGTGTAGAGAAATTCTGGGAGAAGGGTCTGGGGCTAGTCTTTTCATCACGGCAATCCACCACAGAAGATGATGAGACAGATTTGTACGGCTTCACAGAGGAAGATATGCTTGAGGCAAAGAAGCTGTCTGAATGGAGCAAAGAAGAGCTACACCAGTGGCACTCTGTTGATGATTGCTAATATTCTTGAATGTTTTTATTTGTTGTTTTGTTTATTAAAAAGCCTACTAAAAAATAATTTTTGTTTTAATTTCTACTGTAGCAACATCAATTCATTCGCAAAATTCTTTAATTCAGAGGTAATTTACTTGCCAGAAAGGGAACGTGTAAAAAACTAGTCAAAGAGGGTGAAAATAGAGGTGTTTTAGGATGTTAGGTCAGTTTGAACAGTGATTTTCTTGAACCCCGATTTAGCATGACCCCGCTTGTTTCGCGATGACATTTTATGAACCCCAATGATCGCGTTATAAGGGGGCTACACTGTACCTAGGTTACAAACAAAATTTAAATAGTTACACATAGTCCAGTATTCTAAGAGACTGACTAATGTTCCAGTGAAATGAAAGAAGGAAAGAAAAAATTTTATAGATCCAAGAAAACAATTCTGCAAATATTATATTTTAATGTGAATTTAAAAGCAATCAATTTATTCATCCACAAATAAATACCTTTATTAGCTATAATTTGTTTTTGCATCTTGGAGTATAACTCTCACCACAAGACTGCTTCTAACCTTGTGCTACAAAATATGACAGGAAACTAATTGAAAACAAGATCTTTTTTTTTCTCCATAAGTAATCTGTGTACAAAGGTAGATACTAATTCAAATCCCACCCACTTATCAGCTGAAGAAACCTTAAGTCTATTAAGTTAGTGCTATAACACCATATTTGTATTAACCTCAGGTTACAGAAAACCAGTTTAACAGAAATGTAAATATTCTTGTAGGTGTTGGAGGATGAGTCACAACTCAAATGTTATTTGACTTTTCTGAACTTTTATATGTATTGCTCATAAATTCTTTGCTAACCTATCTTCTTTCCTTTTTAAGCAGATGTGCTTACCACCCACATGATTGTGAAATGTTTACGTATATAATAATCAATCTAGGCTTATTAATGTCCTTGTATGGAACAAAAACTATGATTGATCAAGGTTCTCTTCATATGGTGTAAAAAACTAGTTTGGTTAACAAAATCATCTTAATTATGTAAACAACGTAATGAATTTCACTGTCCACAAAAGAATATAACAGCTTTAACTTGTTCAAAAGAAACACATACAAGGTTTTCAAATACAATAAAAAACTGGTATGTATTTTTGGAATTACTTCCTATCAAAGTCTCCACACACAAAAAATGTACATCAGTGGGGTCATGCCTATAGGCCACAGGTAGGCACAAATCCCTCCCCAAATGCTTTCCATATGCTGTTTGAAAAATCCCAAGTCCATGTTTAAACATTTGAGTAAATATGTTCTAAACATTTGTTTGTATTGAAAACCAACAAGTTATATAAAAGTAACAGCAGAAGTTTAATAATATGAAAAGTACAAGGCATTCTACTTATTATTATGTGAATGATTATTTTATTAACCTACCACTGATAATAAAAGTACTTTGTATTCTGACAGTGTCACTTCAAAAACATTTAACTACATGACATCACTGAAGTACACTGTCTTGAAAATACACAGCAGACATAACAATTATATCTATCTTTAACATAATATAACTTCTGATCTAATCTATTTGTTTGTCTTCTAGCTTCTTTATGGGGTAGTTAGTCTGATAAATAACTTGCTTAAGTTACATGTTGTACAACTTTTACTTGAATTCTCTATGAAGTAAACAACCCAATAAAAAACATATCTCTCTTACACTTAGTACAGCTTTTGATCTAACCCTTGTGTATGTCCTTCAGCTTTTCTACTGTAAGAGATAGAGTCCAAGATAAAACTTGTCTAGCTTACATGTAGTACTATTGAAAGTCTAACTTTTGTGTTTATCTTCTAGCTTCTTTACTAGGTAAACAGTCCAATAATAAAACTGTCTTTTACAAATAGTAAAGTTTTTATTTAACTTTCCTGTTTATCCTTCAGCTTCTGTATGAGGTATATAGTCCAATAAAAAACTTGTTTCTCTTATATGTAATACAATTTCTGATCTAACCTTTCTGTTTGTCCTCTAGCTTCTCTATGAGGCAAGCAATCTGTTGTAAAGCATCCTCTAACTCCACTTCTGATGTTCCACAACTCATCACCTACAACAAACAGAATTATTCAGTGGAGCAGTCACTTTTCATTTAATAGAGCTTGTTCATTCTCTTGTGTTCAGTTTTTGTTGTTGAAGGAATAAGGTAACATTTATGGAGAAAAATACTTGGCTTTTGACAAGTGATATTCCTCCCTTAAAGATGACAGAGGAATAATTCATGTGTAAGGGAGCCTGGTATTTTTACAGAAATTTAAAAAACATACAAAAAAAACTGTTACAAGGTTGAGAACATTTTCTATATCAGTCAGAACTAAATTTTGCAGTAAATTCCCTGAAATAAAACTCATAAGATACATTTATTCAGGTTACAAGAAACATTGCAGTAACTTTTAAGTCCTTTTATATAAAACATGTAATTAAACAAACAAGAATAGATTAATTCTTTGAAAATAATCTGCTGGTTTACTTTTTGGGAGAATAGATGATCCACATACTCTCAAAATAGCAATGGCTCCCAACCTATTAAGTCCGTAAATAGATTTTTTTATTCTGATAACTTTATTCAAAAAAGAAATTAATTAAATGTATTTTCAAAAAATTTTATTCCCTATTTGCACTGACTTAAACTAGCAAGCGCAACTTTAGTGCATATAGAGGTTAGGCACATACTTAAAGTATTTTATATTTGTTTGGTACTATTGTTATTTGATCACTAAATGTTACTAAAAGCATAAATCTAATGAGAACCTTTGATGAAGTATTTTAATGGATATAGTCATATCCATAAAAATTACAATTCACAGTTGCGGGTATATCAGTGTCTTTGGACACATATATTTTCACAATTAAAACATCACTAATTTTCCAATATACAGGTTTACAGATTATGTATTATGTTCACCAGTAAGAACCCTATTTTAATGTTGATATTCAGCAAACCTAAACCAAGCACAGTCTGAATACACACAGTTCCTGAAACACACTCTTGCTGAAGTCATACATTTGTGAAATATATATATATATATATATATATATATAAATGGTTGAAGAGGACTAGGGGCTTTGATATCAGAAGCTCTTCAATGCCACAAAATCAATTTTGTATGATATGGATAAAATAAAGGAGAGAAATAAAAATGCAGTTGGTACAAAAATGAAAAAAGGATTTATATCTTATATATGTATGAGCTATTTCCATAAAAAAATTACCTGCCTTTCAAAATGAAGGTTTCTTATACATTAGTAGTTAATATACGCTCAGTGGAAAGCTTGCAGTTGCATTTGTACCACTGTTACTGAATTTTACGATTCATACTCTGAGCAGGTATTCTCTCTCTCACTTCATTTAGATGATCTGACAATGGTTATACAGACATCTAGTTCAGCAGAATCTTTAAATTTTTCACACACAGAGCAGTTTATAAATGCATAATCTAAAGTTATAAATAATGTTTCTAGTGTATGATTGAAGAGACAAGGTTATGCTTTTGCTCCATTAAAAAGCTGTTAAAAATACTTATACTTTGCTTCATACCAATCCATTTTACATTCTCATAATATATCTTGAATTTCAAACATCTATCTTTAGGCAAGCTTATATTTGTACATACACCACACACACATATATATATATGTAAGGACTGGATAATTAAGCAATGATCAGGAGTACTAAGTTGCCCCATTCAACAAAGGTAAACTAGGTTTAGTGACAGAACTTCTTTTCAATGCCAGTAATAAAACATACTTGTTGCCAGTATTTCCGCTGGAATAGCCGAGCTTCACCTTGCAAACGTACCACCTCATCTCGATAACCTGTGATTAAATTTTCTTGTTCTTTCAGCTGCTCTTTAAGTCTGTTTTCTCGTTCACAGATTTCTTGTTTTGTTTGTTTGATGTCAAAGTTAGAAAGAGTTGAAGCACCAGGAAAATCTTTCTTTGAACTCGGAGAGCCAAAAGAATGAGCAGTTGCTAATTCTATATGTTGAATTCTCAAACGAGCATATTCCATCTGCATACAGAATAAAAGTATCAGAGACAAACAAACCTATTCTGTATACAGACACACACGCAGATATATATATATATATAATAAAAAAGTCTACCTCAAAGAGACAAACTTTCTATGTATACAAGCAATGGCAATAAAAAACTGTATAAAAAAGTAACAATGCTCAAATGAATTAATTACCCTATCTGCTTATCTACATTTTATACTTCTTACATTTTTAATATTATATAGGTAGCTCGTGCAGGAAATGCAAAGCTATAAAACAGACTTCATAAATGATGTAATATAGGAGTGTTAACAATTCTTTATTCATTAAAAGTATCTTCTAAGTTAGTGTGATAGTACCAGGACCAGTAATCATAATGGCTTACTTTATCATCAATGTATACTAACCAAATGTCTCTGGTTTCTGTAACCACTAAATAAAATTTTATTAGAACCTTTCAAGTTCTGTTTATGACATAAACGTCAGACATAGAAATAGACTGGTTATGTTGATTCCAGCCCATTTTATTACACAATGCCACAATGGTTCATAAAATTTTGAATTCAAGAAAAACTTGATGCATTTGTTCTCTTTTACTGAAAAATGTATAATGTTTAATAATCCTGCCAGTGAAACTTTCAGTTCATCTTTTATCTTCAGTCCACTTACATTAACAATGAAATAATTAACATAAACTTTAACATTATTTAGAATAAACTTAAACAAGTAAAAATTCACTGCTTCTTATCATACCAACAATAAATCCAATTTTAATTCATATACTTCCTTAAAGTTTAAAAACATACCAATAATCAAAACTGCTGAGTGCCAAGTAGCTTTAAAATTCTAACAGTCATTCACTTTTACTGGGTATAACATTTGATAAATCAAAGACTTTTTTTTGCATGTATCTTCTGCTTACTTTCACTGTACAACTTAAGACAGTGATTTAAATTAATTCTTTATATTTCCTATCTTCCTTATTAAGTAAAACCTTCAAGATGTTTTAAACAGCTTTCAATTTTCCTCATGTTTTTGTAAATAACAACAGTTTAAACAATTCAGAGCTATGCTACTCAGAAAAACTCAATGTACTTCTATTACCTGAAGCTTTTCATGTTCTTCTGTTAACCTCTTCAAATGTGGTTTCAAGTCTTGAGTCTCTTTAGCACCTTGTGTCATGTCTCCTCTCAAGGAATAGATTCGTTCACTACGAATGCTATTTGGAGAACCTCGTGAAGTTGGAGAAACTGAGCAACTATCAGGAGTTTTAGCAGGCAAACTGCATGTAGAGATGTTCATTGAACTTTCCTCCACAACTTTCACAGATACATTGTTTACCTGTTTTCGTAAGTCTTCAGCACTGATGGCTCGATTACAAGCCATTTTGGAAGCTCTGTTGCTTGTTTTCCCATCATGTACACTCTTATTTATTGAAACAATATTCAACTTTGGCTTAGGTGGAGGAATAGGTTTGTGGAATACATAGAGAGGCTTTAATTTCTTTTTACTAGCTGCTGTTCCCTGATCATTATTGGCACTTGTGTTTGATGAAGTAGCAGACTTTGGCAATCGAATGCTGCCATGGCGAGTGAGAGAATTGATAGAATAATCATTCTGCTTCTTTCTTGATGGAAGTCGTAGGCTTTTAGAGCGAGAAAATGGACTACTGTTGGTTGCAGTAGGTTTGAGTTGCTGCTGATCTGTTGCCATGGTCCCTTCTATCACATCATCTTAGTCTGAGCTGCAACACAGTTTGAACACATGCTGTATGGTACTAGATCTAAAGTAAATGTAAGAACAGCCTTACTCATCTAAGTTACTATAACTTATATAAGTAACAATACAAGAAAAACTTCATAAGTAATGCTATACACTCACAAATAATATATAATACATAGTTAAACTTACTTAAATAACATAATGACCATCATGTTGCAACTAATACAACAAAATATTCTATCTAAATATGGCAAAGGTATTACAACACATATCTTTATCTATAAATGACACAAACAGTATAACATGACTCTCTACCTAACACTATTAGTGTGATTCAACATATCCCTCTATCTACAGATCACACAAACAGTACAACATAATTCTCCACATAATAATGTTGCTGGATTTGACATAATTATAGCTACAAATGATACAAATAGTGACACAACTTTCTACCTAACAATGCTACTGTGATTCAACATAACTCTCTAGCTACAGGTGATACAAAAAATATGACACTAACAGTATTGGTGTGATGCAACATAACTCTTTATCTGCAGATGTTCCAAACAGAACTTTCACAAGTGGTACAAATAATTTCCCAACTAGATATTCTATTTTACTACATTTTGGTAGTCATTTGCATCTATTTTCTTGTGTCAAATGCCTAGTCAGTGTGCAGACCCCCCATTAACCTTTGCTATGGTGTAATTTGCATATACGAGTTAATCTGGTCTAATATGAAATGACTCACAGAAACTGCCATTTGGGGCCCCTTCCAAGCTAAGGTGGCCACCCACCCAAATGACACCCTGATCATGACAAACAGAAACAGTAAAATGAGCTGAGAATGACTACCCATATACTCAGTTATGAAGAAAGCAAACAGACCATAGAAACTTAACATATTTTGCAGATGTGGTAAACACTGTTCTCTTAGATGTATAAAACACAAAATGATGTCACCACTGACTACCTTACCAAAACCAACACCAAGTACATACAGTAGACATACACAAATTGAGAGACATTTGTTTACCTTGACAAACACATACTCTACTGTGTAAGATTCAACCTGTTTCGATTTAAGAACAATAATAGATTAACAATTGTTTCTATAATTATTAAAAAGGAATACTGAACAAGTGAAAAAAGTAGTAATTTTTTCAAGGACCAAACTCATCACACTACAAAATACTCTGTAGAATTTATTACACTTTTTCACTTTCCATTTCTTGTCTATGACACCAACACTAAAATTCTTCTCCAGTGTTTTTATCTGCACAGATATTCAACACCACTACTGTAAACTCCTTCTCCAGAGTTTTTATCTGCACAGATGCTTAGCAACACTAATATTCTTCTCCAGTGTTTTTATCTGCACAGATATTCAACACCACTACTGTAAACTCCTTCACCAGAGTTTTATCTGCACAGATGTTCAACAACACTACAGCAAATTTCTTCTTCTTCTTCAGTGTTCTTATCTGTACATGTGTTCAACAACACTACTGTGAACTTTTCCAATGTTCACACCTTCACAGATATTCAACAATACTACAGTAAATTTCTTCTCCAGTATTCTTACTCAGCAACACTATAATGAATTTCTTTTGCCATTGTTCTTACCTGCAAAGATGTTTGACAACACTATAGTGAACTGTTTCTACAGTGTTCTTGCCAAGATAGATGTTCAACAACACTAAAATGAACTTCTGACATTGTTTTTACCTACACAGATGTTCAACACTACAGTAAACTTATTCTCCATTGTTCTTACCTGCACAGATGTTCAACACTACAGTAAACTTATTCTCCATTGTTCTTACCTGCACAGATGTTCAACAACACAACAGTAAACTTATTATCCATTGTTCTTACCTGTTCAGATATTCAATAACACTACAATAAACGTATTCTCTAGTGTTTTTACCTGCACAGAGCTTCAACATGGCTTTCTACCATGATTTTAACTGCACAGATAGTCAATAACACTACAGTAAACGTATTCTCTACTGTTCTTACCTGCATAGATGTTCAACAACAATACAGTAAACTTCTTCTATAGTATTCTTACCTGCACAGATATTCAACAACACTACAGTAAACTTATTCTCCATTGTTCTTATCTGCACAGATTTTCAACACTACAGTAAACTTATTCTCCATTGTTCTTACCTGCACAGATGTTCAACAACACAACAGTAAACTTATTATCCATTGTTCTTACCTGCACAGATATTCAACAACACAACAGTAAACTTCTTCTCCAGTGTTCTTACCTGCACAGATATTCAACAACACAACAGTAAACTTCTTCTCCAGTGTTCTTAACTGCACAGATGTTCAACAACAATACAGTAAACTTCTTCTATAGTATTCTTACCTGCACAGATATTCAACAACACAACAGTAAACTTCTTCTCCAGTGTTCTTATCTGCACAGATGTTCAACAACACTGTAGTATACTTCTACAGTATTCTAACTTGCAAGAGTTACCACAACACTGCAGTATTTTAAATTCAATCTCGAAATTCTAACTATTCCAGTCAGAAAATGCCAGCTTGTGAATTCTTCATTGAGATTACCTGTGTGAGATCTAACACCACACGAAGTCCAATGCTGGTATGAAAACAATACTGTAAGTAGTGTTCTAATCAAGCTCAAGTGACCCGTATCGCACAATTTCCTCTTCCGACCCCTCCTGGGAGCGCTAGCAGGCCGCACACGATGGAATTCTCCCTTACAACGGTTGAGGAGGACGATAAACCGCCGTGACAACCAGCGTGTAGAAATTCTTGTAGACAACTGTATTCGTGCAGAACGTGCTTACGTCGATGTCGTGACGGCATCCTTAATGGATATACGTCAAGAGAAGCGTTAAAACACCTCGAGTTCCATTCTCAACATAATATTTGAACTGAGCTTGAAAATCATCAAACCTACTTAAATTGTATTATATTTGTAAAAGCTACATTAAAGACGATATTTCGAATAAATAACATATAAAAACAATCATATTTACCGGTACTGATACATGCTGAATAAACAGCTACAATCTTACCGGTACATGCTCAATATATATCACTACAACCTTACCGGTTCATGCTGAATATACAGTTATAACCTTATTGGTACATGCTGGATATACAGTTACAACCTAACCGATACATGCTGGGTTTATAGTTACAACCTTACTGATACATGCTAAATATATAATTCCAACCTTACCGTAGTTACTGGATATAGTTATAAACTTACTGGTACATGCTGAATATACAGTTACAATCTTGCCGGTATATGCTTGAAAAACAATTACAGCCTTACTGGTACATACTAGACATACAGTTACAGCCTTACTGGTACATACTGGATATACAGTTATAATGTTACTGGTACGTGCTGAATATACAATTATAACCTTACTGGTACGTGCTGGATATACAGTTACAAAGTTACCTGCTAGATATACAGTTATAACGTTACCGGTACGTGCTGGATATACAGTTATAATGTTACTGTTACGTGCTGGATATATAGTTACAACCTCAGTGGTACATGCTAAGTATATGTACTTAACTGATACATGCTGGTTAGTTACGTCCTTAACAGTACATGCGAGTAATACAGTTATAATGTTACTGTTACGTGCTGGATATATAGTTACAACCTCAGTGGTACATGCTAAGTATATATACTTAACTGATACATGCTGGTTAGTTACGTCCTTAACAGTACATGCGAGTAATACAGTTCATATTCTGCTGATACCAGTACGTTATATAGTTACTTCACTATAGATGCATGCTGAGCATAAAGTTATAATGTGTTTGTTTATGGTAAGCTTATTGCGTCTAGTTACAACTCCAGGAATTAGTACCCATGAAAAAGGTTGCACGCTGACATGGAAGTTGAACCCAAACAACGAGAAATACGTCAACAACGACACAAGAGTCTCGTTACTAGGAGAAAATGGGTGGAACTATACTGAAGCTTTGTTTGCTTCCTTGTTTTCAAGCGCAAAGCTGCACAATAGACTATCTGTGCTGTGGCCACCGCAGGGATCAAACCCTGAATTTACCAAAGCCCTCAAGCTTACCGTTGAGCCAGTGAGAAGCTACTAACTACTCTACAAAAGCTAGAGGACTTGGGTGGATGGATTAATCTTTAAACTACTCCATGAGTTTCCCTCTTGTTTTGAGCCATTTAACAACATTTTGTACTTTTTTTTCTTTTGCCTGCATGTCTTAGAAGCAACAACTTAATGAGTCATACGAAGTATTTTAAATACAACAATACAAAATCCAAACTTATTCTGGTTGCACAGCCAGGATAATCTTGCTTGTACGAACAAATTACCCTAGAAACATAGGTGACACAGTTTTTTCTTCTCCTCAAGATTTTTGTGCCGCTGAAACAGAAACGTTAGACACTATATCAAACTTGATCTATGAAAGTGTTGTTGGCTGAAGTTATGGCAGAAACAGCTGTTCTTTTCCAAAGGGCGTGGCTTGTGAAGATCAACAAGAACATGCCATGCAATCAAACGATTGGATAAAACTCAGCTACTGGCATATTATGCACCCTACTCATACTACGCTGAGCTTTTAAACCAAAGTAGACGGCAAAAAATAAATAAAAAAATTCACCTTTAATATTTTCTTTTTACATCACGCTTAAACCTAACTCTCTATTTAAAGCTATGGTAGTCCTGTTCTTTCGAGCTTTTTTCAGTTTGGGCGTGATCAAACATTGATGCTTTAAAATACGAGATTCTTTACCTCGTCAATGGATCACTAACGCCATTCAGCTGGATTAGAATCACAATTCAGTACTTGTAGGACAATCGCTATACTTTTTTTGTAATAATCTATCACGATTATCAATTTCACATTAGAGCCAACGCATACGTTTTATATTTAAACCTATTATTGGAATGGTCAATCTAAAAAAAAAAACAAGTTTCCGACGTTCTCGTTTAACCACGGTGTGAAGAGGAATTATCCACCAATATCAATTATTGTTCATCCCAGTTACGTCAATTAAAAATATTGCTCATG